AATTGTGAAAGGAGCCCAGTGGTCACTAACAAACCAATGGCTGGGATTGCCTTCGTTCTTTCGTGTTCTCAAACATACAACAGGAAGATGTTTGTGGATTACCACTTGAAATTTTGTAATGCATTCCCAGAAGATGACCAAATCCAAATAAAACTTGGGCTTCTTCCCGGGCATTGGCAAACTCCTTGCATAGCCCATGAATCTGATCCAAGACTCTTCACATCCTTAGTTTCTGACATAACGCTTCAAGTCCAACTGATGCTAAGCTCCAGGTGGCTTTGTATTCTGCCATGGTGAAGGAACTGTCAGAGACTAAGCATGTCTCTTTCTTTATTGCCTCGCTTTTTACTGAAAACCAACAAAAACTATATAATTTTGTTCCATTAAAGAGCTTACATTAGAGATGTCTGTTGTTAGATTCAGCCTCCTCAGTTTTCACTGGATTGGATGGAATTCCAGAGCCTAGAAACTGCGCACTGGTGAGTGTGCTTATGCCGAGTATGTCATTCTGTGGCCAGGACTTCAGAGCAGGAAGCTCGTCTCCTAAATGAAGTTAAGCCAATGGGGCCTTTCCTTCCTCTTTTGTATTTAAATTTGTCAGAGGCATTTTAATTCAGAATTTAGTTTTTACATAATGCAGGCCAGCTATATTCCAGAAATATAATTACATAAAGATGGGTAGCTAACAATCCCCTGGCTCCTATGCTTGCTCCTAAGGAGTGTAACTTGCTGACCACTGCAGCATTTTCGATGAAATAGTTTTAATTTGGGTAGCACACTGAGCATCTATTACAGGTGGCCCAAGCTCTCAGCCAGATGTTGGTAATACAGTCATAGACAAAGATACTTGTGGACCCAGACCATTGAATTTGCAAGTGTAGGAAGACTGCATCTTTTAACTACAGTATCAAACTATTCAGTGTGTCAATGTAGCAGAAAGTCATAGAAGGCTTACAGAGGATGGGAGTAAGGAGCACTCAAACAGCCAGGCTTGCTTTCTCTTACACAGTTTTAGGAGTGGCTTGGGGGCTAGAGAGATAGTTCAGCAGCTAGGAGCACTGGTTCCTTATCCAGTGGACCTGGGTTCAATTTCCGGCACCCACATGGCAGCTCACAACTGTCTGCAACTACAACACCTGACACCCTCATACATACATGCAGGTAAAAATACCAATTTAAAAAAACAAACAAACAAGGAATGACTTATTTCCTAAATAATTAAGTCCCGTGTATACCATGATGTCTTCCTGTGCCTCACATCAGGAAAGAGCTTCTACCTTTTACACTTGCATTGCCTTAGCAATGTACCTGTACCATCACCATAGCAATATTGGGAATGACCCCAGCAGCCACTCAGAATCAGGCTTACAAAACAAATTAGAGCTATAATCAACTCTCTGAATTTACTCTGCAATATAAATTTGTTCAGGCCCTGGTGTTTCTTCTTAAAATGTAAAATGAATGGAATAATACAACATGAAACTCCTCCCTTCATTTTCCATTAGTTTTTGCGGAGAATATATGAAGTATTTCAATGGAAAATACAGAGATTAGATTATTTTATTGCATCCTCTCAAAATGTGGCAGGCATAAATGAAAAGGACATACTACACTACACTAGAATACCACTTCTAGGGGTACAAAGTAACTCCTCCCCTACGAAGCCAATATGAAATGCAAAAAATGTGTGCATTCTTTCTCCATGCCTTGCTTTTCAAGGCATGATGGGGCAGGTGAATTAGGGCTCTACAGGATCTGTTCGAGCTGGCTCTTTCTGGGTAGTGAGAGATGCGGTTCTCACTTGTCTATTTTCTGCTTCACAAATTATGTCTTCAGTATTGTATCTTCTGAGCCACTCAGTAGAAAATTATTATGTAGATAGATTGTGTATCCTTTGTTTGTTTGGGAAGTTTGTTTTGTTTCTCACCGCTTTTGCTTGGGAGTGTGTCTGGTAAGGTTTGCTTTGGGTGTAGGTGGCGTATACTGCGACTAAGAGATGGATAGTGTTCAACCTTTTCCTTTTGCTAAATTACACTAACTTAGCTTTCTGCCCCAAGTGAGGCAAAATGAGACTGTCCAGCAAGACCATCACTTTATCTTAATCAGTAATGCATGAGATTTAAAAAAAGTCTACTTATTTTGTGTGTATGAGTGTTTTGTCTGCATGTATGCCTGTGTACTACATGCATGCCTAGTGCTGACAGAGGCCGGGAAAGGAAATTGAGTCCCCTGAAACTGAAGTTAGAGCTGGTTATGAGCTGCTATGTGGGTACTGAAAATTGAACCCAGTCGTCTGGAAGAGCAACCAGTGCTCTTAACCACTGAGTCATGTCTTTAGTCTGAATGGAATATTTTAAAAGACTATTTCCTTGTCATGGTGTTAACAATACTGAGGTAGAACATAGCTTGACAAGCAGATGTTCATTGTAAGCAGTTGTTATTCTACAAGAGCTGTAGGAAGAATGAGGAGGAAAGAGAATCCTCACAGTGGCAATCTGAGACAGCTCAGCAGTACCCTGCATCACAGAGAAGTGCCACTGGCAGTTGTGTAGGGTGGCTGCTGAGCCTTTGCAGGTGGCTTTCCAGTTGCAGCTGTGTGCCCTGGCTCCATGTCATACACATAGTTAGCTCTAAGGAGCTCAGTGCACGCTCCTGACTGGAGAGGTGCTATCAGTGCTCCTAAGGTGCAGTTTGACAGAAAAAAAGCCCCGCTTGGTGCACTGATTCTTTGAAAATTATTCCTGCCAAACATAATTAGTAGCATTGGGTACTCTTGGTTCCAATCTCTAGGAAACAAAACCACAATTTCCTGTTATCTCTAGACTGCCACAGCACCACGCACATGAGGATTAAGAGCCCTCTGTTCTGACCTGTGCCTGCGATGTAACTGGAGTGGAGCATGTTTCTTAGTTTATCTTGCCGCTGTGCATGCAGTTCTTTGATTTATCTGAAATTTCTGAGTTCTTGTATGTAAATGATGATCACATAGATTTTGGAATATATGCTTCAAATTTTAAATCAAGGGCCTGGTAAGTTAGGAAGTTTGTACAGAGCAGCCTGTTGCTGCTGGAAGAGCCACTCTATCTGTAGATGGGAGGCAGTCAATGCACAGAACATGGGCTTTGTTATCTATCTCATCAGGTGACTAGGGCTATGCCCAGGTTCACTAAAATATAGCTTTGCATTGGTATTCTCCCAGCAGCAGCTCCCTTTTGTTCTCTAGCCAGGGTTAAGTAGTTGAAGGTGTGAAGGAGTTCTCACTATTCAGCAGAGAGTTCCTTGATGGCTGCAGATGTGCTAATGTGTCTGGAAAAGGCCTTGAGTATGAATAGCTGCTTTGCTGTAGGAATTCTAGCCTGCCCTTGCCTTAGTGGACTGGTTCACTTCCAACAAGGAGTAGTTTTTCTTTTTTATTAAAGTTAGACTCTTCTGTAACTCTTACCATTTCCTTCTAACATTCAGTTTCACTCATAAAGGAACTCCAGTAGTAAAAATTAAATGCTACAAGCTTTAATGCTCAAACCAAATCTCTGTATAGGAAATCCATCCATCCAACTAGAAGTGACTAAATACTATTTTCTTGGCATTAAAGTAGAAATAAAGATGTGTAGAAACAAAACTGTCTTCTCTCAGGTAGATTGTGCCCCTAAATATGTATTATGATCCCTGAGTTGTAACCACCATGTATACCAAACCTTCCGACTCACTGTGTTTTATTTGTGCTCATTGGGGAGCTGATGCCTTCCAGTTGTCAGTGGTGCCGCCATTGTTCTACCTCTTGCTTACAGGTTAGTTGCTTTGTGTAGATACTTTGTAGCCATGCATTTTGAAACCATTTTTGTGCTTCATCATTTTCAGGGTAGAAGGGTGCATAGTTCCTCTTTGAGTCATAAAGATGCTTCTCAGAACAGCCAACTGTCATCAACTGGCTGTCACCAGTTCTGTCAAATTGTGTCCTTCATGACATTACAGCTTAAGTCCCACACTTCGAGAGAGTTGAAAGCAAATGGACTAGGGTTTGGAAATGACAGAACCTGCTGATGGTGAATGTGCACTTGCCAGAGTTAGGGTTAGCAGTGATAACACATCAGTTTCTTCATCCAAGTGGAAAGTTGTGTGCCCTGATTGTGGTGGTGGTGGTGATTACACAGATATGTGGCAGAAATCTCCCACAAGCGTTCACACTCATTTGCGTAAATATGTATGAATGCCCATAACTGAGGCCTGTAGTTTTAAATAATACCATGAGTTTTCTAATTTTGATAATATCAGATTCCTAGTTTTGTTAATATTATATAGATACCTATATAAGGTACTGTCATTAAGTGAAAGCCAGTTGAAGAAATTCTGTGATAATTTGATAAATTTTGAGTCTAAAATTATTTCAAAAAAATTAAAATGTTTGACCACACACACACACACGAAATGTTTAGGTAAAATGGCCAGATACATTAGTTAGTGTAGGTGACTCTAAAGAAGAGCACCTGACCACAGGCATCATTAGTATCATATCTTAAAATTCATGGCTTTGCATAAATAACAAATGACTTGGGCTTTGGGCATAATTAAAGATATGGTGTGCTGCTGTCTGTCTTCTCTCAGGGGAACGAGGAAACTTCCTCCCAGGAAAAACCGATATTCTGAAAACGAAGATAAATCTTGACCTTACAGTCATCTTTATTATAAGGGTGTCTGTGCAAATTCACTTTGTATAAATGCTTAAAAACCTTATTTAACTCTTGATTGTCAGCCAAACCTGCTAAATAGAGGGTAGGAGACTAACTTGAATTTCTTAGCAGCTCTTCCAGGTCCGGCTCATGAGGAAATGGGTACCTGGTGAGTGAGAGCCTTCTTCCTCTGAGCAATGGAAGGTTGACTTTGTCCGTTTCCTAGATTGTCACTTTCTGATATATATTTTTTTAATCTCTGTGGCTTTGCCCTTTCCCTTCCATGGGTTTGGAGTGATGGTAACTGATATTCTTGTGTCTTCCCTCTTCTAGCTATCTGAATGACTTGGACCGTGTAGCTGACCCTTCCTATCTGCCTACACAACAAGATGTGCTTAGAGTTCGAGTCCCCACCACAGGGATCATCGAATACCCCTTTGATTTACAAAGTGTCATTTTCAGGTAGTAACTGAGTTCATTAACACCTACATACAGGGTCTAAAGCCTGTGGCTTTGTGTGGATTGTCATCATTGGGATACACAACTGAAATAATATATCAATGAAAGAGGATGCAAAAGAAAGATATTCTGAAGTTTTCATTTTAGGCTAAATAACCAGGCATTTAATGAAACTTTAATTTCTGGTGGTAGAATACAATTACTCAAACATTGTTCTTCACTATAGTATATATGTACATATGTACATGTATGCATATATATATATATACACAGAGGCACACACACGCATATATATATAAAATCATTTATCTGAGGACACAGTGTATTTTTAGAATTTTGTAAGATAGTTCATATAATCCTATCAGTAATAGCAGATAATCAACTTTTGTTTTGTGTTTTTGAGATAGGGTCTCACTCTGTAGCCCAGACTAGCCTTGAAATCACAGCTTTCTTCCTAGCTCAGCTTCCCAGTTGCTGGAATTTTAGGCAGGAACCAGCATACCTACCATTAAAAACTTCCATATTGATAATTGTTCCATGTTGTTTAGTACCAATGCAGAATTTCTCCATAGTATTAAAAAGCCATGCTGCTTTAGTTCATATAATAAAATGCTTGAGAATTTCAAAATTCATGATTTAAAAAGTAGGGCAATTAACTTAATCTAAATTGATACAACAAAGAAGAATTAGAATTTATTATTTCCTTGTTTACTGCTGTTATTTGTCTTAATGCTTTAACTGGAATTTTTTTTAATATAAGTAAACAATACTCGTATCTTTTCAGTTTGCTATTTCCCAGTCACCTAATAATACTTTTAGTTGCATTGCAAACCACCTTGAGCTTTGAGGAAAGGAGCCACGTAGGTATGTCTTCGACTTCAGTGTTGAGCTGGCTCTCAGGGAGCCTGCTCATGTGGCATGGTAGAGGTTTGTGTGCTGCCTCAAAGCCGCCTTCATGTAGCTCCTCCTGCAGCATGCCTCTGCCGTGGGACTCAGCTTGACACATACTATGCTGTTTCTTGACAAAGCACCAATTTTTTATTATGTTTTTTATTATTATGCTTTTTTCCCCTCTGTTCATTGTTTGCACCCATGGTGTAATCTTGCCACCATATACTGCTCAAAAGCACGTGGCTTTGAAGTAGTAGCTCTTTGAAAATACTTATGAACCCTTTTTTAAAATATGTAATGGGCACGTTAAGATGCTCACCAAGGTTCCTAGGACCAGCATTCTATTTTGAGTTTATAACATCTGGATACCCAAATTTACCAAAAAAAAAAAAAAGACATACAGTACAACAGGAGTAATGACTTCCTGTCATCCTCCGATGACATTGCTTCCCTGCAGTACGGCTTCCTTTAATAGGAGCTCCCTGTAAATGAGTTGCATATTTTCACATAGTGACATTGGGACAGAGCCAACATTTTAATATTTTTGTTTTGATTTTTGTTTTTCAAGACAGGGTTTCTCTGTAGCTTTGGAGCCTGTCCTGGAACTAGCCCTTGTAGACCAGGCTGGCCTCAAGTTCACAGAGATACACCTGCCTCTGCCTCCCGAGTGCTGGGATTAAAGGCACACGCCACCACTGCCTGGCTACATTTTAATATCTTTAACACCTAAAAGTTCCACTTTTGTTGTCCAAAGCTCGCAGGTCTCATAGAACCATTGTTTTGCCCGTCTGATCTCACTTCTGGACCTCTGGAGTCTTAGAAATGGTGGTGTGAATGATCCTTGATTTCTTTGCTTGTGGGTTTCCATGATCCCCATAAAAACTTAGCTATGGTGGCATATGCCTGTAATCCAAGGTTCAGAGAATGAAAGGTGCAAATTCGAAAGGTCCATAGCCAGTTGATGAGCTCCAGGTTCAGTGAGGGACCGTATCTCAAAATACAAGGTGGAGAGGAGCAGAGAAAGCCTCCTGAGAGTCACCCTCTGTCCACACCCACATGCACACACGTGCACACACTCACAGAAACAGAAGTTCTTTGAGTTCTTCCTCTGGATTTTGTGTGAGAATCAGGAGCACCATGAGCAGGCAGGTGTGGAGTAGATTCTTACAGAGCACTGCTCTTCCGCTTTCATACCAGACCTTCTCATCCTCTGAGACTTCTTTCCTCTGAAGAGTGTGTGCAGCAGTCCAGAGTCAGCCCCAGGAGTTTGTCAGGCTCTGCTGTTTATATACACACACATACTCCTACTCCATTCTTGGTGCCCATGCCGGTGTCTGAGGATAATCAAGTGCAGAGTGGATGCATGAGAAGCAGACCCGGGAACTGGTGTGGGGCACTGCATAACATTCTGATATCTTACACCACACTTAATATCCAGCAAGGAGGCAAGTTGGTTTGTGCACAAAGCTGATTGCTCCCTGCTGCCTGGTGTGGTTGGACCTGTCCTAAAATTTTGCCAATATTGATAGAAAGAAAAAGCTTTAAATTCTTATCCTACAAAAGGAAGCATAGGCAGGATCATATTTACATTTAGTACCCTCCTTGTATGGAAATGTATGGCATCTTATATCCTTTAAATATATCCATGGTCCTTCCTGGCATCCTTGGTAATACATGAGGGTCTTCACTCTGACATCTAAGAAATGAAAGTGAAATTTATTATTTGTTACTTGATCTTAGCATAAAAACATCCTGTTTGCCTTTGCAGTGTGTAATTTAATAAAAGAACTATTTTGCTTGACACAGACAAGGAAGTTTTACATAGTTACAATTTTCATGCATATCTAGTAACTTCCTGTAACCACAGTGATTAACAGACAATTAATAGTCAATAAGTATTAATTGACTTGGATACCATTGTCTTTCAAGCATTGAATTTTCCTAATTTGTAAGTAGTATTATATTGGTACTTTTAATATTTTCTTTATGTTATTAATATGAATATTGTTACCTTTGCAGAATGGTCGATGTAGGGGGCCAAAGGTCAGAGAGAAGAAAATGGATACACTGCTTTGAAAATGTCACCTCTATCATGTTTCTAGTAGCGCTTAGCGAGTATGATCAAGTCCTTGTGGAGTCAGACAATGAGGTAAGTGCTCTTTGGACAGAGAGTGATTCATCATTTTAGTGCCTGATAGAAATAAATGGCAAGAAGTGGATGTGGGCAATGGATTGAGTTGAAGTCATTACTTTCTTTACCACTATTTGAAGATTTTTTTTCTTTTCAGTTTGTTTTTAGTTCTTATTACACCAGTGTATTTATCTTGTGTGTGTACATACATACAGCAGTGCACATGTCGATATCAGTGGACCTGTGGGGGTGGATTCTAGAGGTGAAACTCAGGTTCTCAGGCTTGGCTACAAGAACTTCTACCCACTGAGATGTCTTACCTATCTGGATGTTACCCTGTAAAACCAACCTACTATACACGCAGAATGGCAAGCTTTTCTGTCAGGAATGCAAGCAGGTCTGTGTGCTCAGATCTAATTAGAACCTGTTTGATACTTTTAACACTGTGCAGAGGTTCTGAAAATAAAATTATTATGGAAAGCCCTAGGCTAATCACAAGATCATTTCATAGCCTTTCTTGCAGCATAGAGCTGCTGGTGTTGAGTGAGTCACCCTGTTTTGTTTTGCTTTCATTTTGTTAAAACATTGTTTGCTCCATGGGTGGGCATGCATGCAGAACCTTCACTTGGCAGATGTGAGTAACTTTGTAGCTGGGTTCAAAGTCAGTTCATTGTGAAGCCATTCAGTGTCTTGGTGATGTGGCCTCTCTGCTGCTGTGTGCTGTTTGGGCTGTTGTGTAACTCTGCTAAGGAGGGGGTGACTCAGGAACTGTTCTTCACACCACTGTCTGGAGAGCTCTGTATTGGGCTCCTCTCTGCTGCAGGGAAAGTTAACAGGTGGAAATGCAGATTCTGAGAGTAGTAGAGGTTTGATGAATCAGAGTTGACTGTGGAGGATAATTAAGGGGTACAGGAAACAGCCTTTGAGCTAACGTTCACAGCATTTGTGTCTGAATGGAGATGCCATTAATACTGTCAGAGCTTGCAGGCAGAGAGACCGGTGACATTAAGTAAATAAAAGGAGAAAACAAAGTGAAGGAAGTGAGAAATCCCCAGCCATTGGTTAAACTGAGATCTGGTATGTCAAAATTCATTTTCAACACACATCTCTTTTTCCAAAGATAAGAATTCCTGGCTTCTTGATCTTTTTAAGATAGCTTATTTTTTGCAAGTCTTGAGAATATTCTCATTATAGTTCATACCCAACATGCAGGGGTTTGCATCTGTCAATGAGCTAAGGCCTGATAACTAGCCACTGGCTCCCTGAGCTGAAATGCAAAGTGCCTACAAGTATGGTAAAATACTGATAATTTTGTTACCAAAATGTAAGCGGGGCTTTTGCCTTTGGAATGTTTACTATTATATCTCTCTGGTTCTCTTTCTTAATATGTACCCATGTCCATTTGTTGTTCCGTAATTCTTGGAGACTATAGTTTGAATATATTGTTTACTTTAGACATATTGTGGCATGCCTCTGGTTTTAGTACTATGTTGTGGGTATCAGGATCTCCAAACAGTTACAATTTTTCCCTGAAGAGAAGATTAAAAAAGAATACACATACTTTTTTTTATCAGAATAAAGTATATGAACCAAAGGCAATAAAACTTTTGCTGTGTAGCTCCCCATTTCTAATGTTCAGTTTGCTACCCACTGAAATAAATTTTACATGTGTCACCTATACAGAAGATGAAAGAAATACATAAAATTTCATGCCTATATTTACATACTAGCAAGGGTAGAATAAGTATCTACCAGTACACATATTCCCATTCAATATGTTGTATCTACAAAGAATTACATGTTGTAATTTAATGACAATCAATTTGCCATTTTAAAATTAGCAGAACAGCAAGGAAGTCAATTCTTTAAATGACTTGTCAGCTAAGTCTAGCACAATAGCCCCATTCTTTGTTTATCTGGTCATTATAAATTTCACCTGATGTTACAATAGAAATCTGATCTGTTGGTTGGTTGGTATAAAAATATATTAGTTCAGTAGCATTTTTTTATCAGACATTTTCAGATTTCTACCAGTAATTTGTCATTCAGTATGTAGGTATTCATTGTAAAAGCCTGGCCTGAGTCCTTTAATTCATAAGCTGATATATTATACCGCAGATTAAAATAATAAAGCTATGTCCTAGTTTGCTTTCTGTTGCTGTGACAAACACCATGGCCAGTATCAACCTGGGGAAGAAAGGGTTTATTCCATGTTAGAGTTTTTCATCTATCATGAAAGGAAGTTGGGGCAGAACTGTGGAGGCAGGAGCTGAAGCAGAGACCCTGGAGATGTGCTGCTTACTGACCTGTTCTCCAGGGCTTGCTCAGATTGCTCTCTTGTACCACTGAAAACCACCATCCTAGGAATGGCATCACCCACACTGAGCTGTACCCTCCCACATCAGTGCCTACAGACCAATCTGATGAAGGCATTTTCTCAGTTAAAATGCCCTTTTCCCAGGTGACCAGGGGAGTTCTGTCAAGCTGACAGAAGCATAACCTTCACTAGTTACAGTCTCCCCATTAGAACTCAGTAAGTCACACCAATTCTGGAGCTTTCCCTTGGGCCTTCAGCAGGCCTGATATCGCTGGAGCTGATCCTCAAGCAAAGCAAGAACATACTGTCCATACCCAGCACCCCTAATTGGCACACAGTCCCAGAAGCATGTTCTTATTAGAGTTACCTGTTTGATACTCAGTTATAGTAAAACATTCAGATGTCATTGTTTCCAACTTCTTAAACCATTAAAGTAATTCAGAACTACAGAATTCTAGTTTCTGAAATGTCTTGGTTTGGGTAAGACAGAACAAGAAAAAACTCCCTGCCGTTTGCTCTTGGTTTTAAAGGGTGATGTTCATAGCTTTACTTCCAAGCAGACTTGACTGTGCCTGCCTTGGTGTATATTTGTGAGAGAAGTCTGGAAGTGAATGCTGATAGCTTCTCTTTCTGTCCTGTGGAGCCGTGGAAAATTCACTGTAGACTCCAAGCAGGACAGCTAAGATGTTTTGTAGAAGCTCTGAAGCTGATTTGTTCAGCAAAGTACATGAAGTTCATGCTCCCAGAACCCACATAAAAAGATGGGCATGGTGGCACATGCTTGCAATCCCAATTCTGGGAAGGTGGGTACAGGCACATCCCTGGGGCTAGCCAGCCAGCTGAGGCTGTTTGGCTAGCTCCAGGCCTGTGAGAGAACCTATCCCCACTCCACCCCCAAAGGTAGCCAACACCTAAGGAATGACACCTAGCCTCCAAATGCACAAGTACACAGAGATACAGAGACACACAGAGAAATGTTCCAGATTATTCCCTTTGCTTGTGTTTTAGTTATTTGCAAACACTGTGTATTAGTCTCTGCAGTTTTACACAGATCAACTTTTGTCTGTACAGATTCTCAGCTTTCCTATTGTTTGGGGAGTGAATGTCTTTCTCCTTTGTCTCCAAATAAGGAAATAAGCAGGAACTAGGCAAACCAAGGTTGTAGTGCTGCACTGATTTCCAACTTCTCCTTTCTCTTGTATTTCCCCTTTGGTAACATACCAGCTTCAGCCAACTATCCTGGCGTAAATCCTTTCATGGACACATTATTTCAGAGCCCCTGAAAGCCCAGAACAGGGAGATAGCCGATGTGTATCATTGTGTGTTCAAACTCGCCTCTGTTTTTTATTTCTCTAGCTTTCTGGTCCATGGCTGAGCATTCACACCGTACCTTCTCCTCCACATTTCTTCCTCTTTTTTTTTTTTTTTTTTTTAAAGACAGCGTTTCTCTGTATAACAACCCTGGCTGTCCTGGAACTAGCTCTTTATAGACCAGGCTGGCCTCAAACTCAGAGATCCGCCTGTTTCTGTATCCCAAGTGCTGGGATTAAAGGCGTGTGCCACCACTGCCCAGCTCCACATTTCTTCCTAATGTGTACATCTAACTGATTGGTCATGCTGAATTATTTTATATTTTTTGGTTTGGGTTTGTTGTTGTTTGTTTGTAGTATCAAGGTACTCCCCATACCCAACCCAGGTGTAAATTGAGACTGCTTTCACTTCCCGGCCACTCAGACCCAAATAATCACACGGAAACTATATTAATTACAGCACTGGCCATTGGCTCAGGTGTAGTCCTAACTAGCTGTTACAATTTAAATTAACCCATTGCTATTAATCTATGTATCACCACGAGACTGTGGCTTACCCGGTAATGCTCTGACATCTTTCTCCTTTGGCAGCTACATGATGTCTCCTTGGCTCTGCCTTCTTTCTCGTTGTATTCAGTTTAGTTTTCCCATTTGCCTATATTCTGCCCTGCCATAGGCCAAAGCAGCTTCTTTATTAACTAGTGATAATAAAACATATTTATAGCATACAGAGGGGAATCCCACATCACCCAGGCCTTCCTTTGATTAAGATGGATTTCCCAGCATTGGTTCTCATAGACACTTGTCCTTCAAACTGAGTCTGGAATTGAGAGTTGATAATAAAAAGACAGAGTAGACATTTTTAATACTGTGTCATTCATACCTCTTTAAAACCTGCTAAGCTATTACCTGTACATTATGATAAGGATTATAGTCCTGGCTGATACGCCCACTCTAAGTTTGCAACACAGAGAAAGAACAGAAGACCTGTCATTGCTAAGAGCATGGGAGCAAAATGAAAATTCTCCTGTGGGGTGTTGAAATTCCTCCCCTGGACCTCTGGGTCCTTATTACATTCAGAGACAAACACAGGACTTTTCCCGACAGTTCAGAATGTCTCTGTGTTCATTGGATCTTCACAGTCTAGGATATACATTTGGTTATACTTTTGTGCATGCACATACACACACGTGTCTGTGTGTGTGTGTGTGTGTCAAAATTTGAAAATACATTTATTTTTCTGCTCTGAAAATTTTGAGTAGGCTTTCAGGAATTTTCTTCAGATGACACTTAGCTTTGTGGGGAATATTGACTAAATACTACAAAAAGAAAAACCTCCTAATTTTAGAGGGGAGACCTACAGGAGACTTAGAAGTATGAAATGTGCTTAG